CCTTCTCGAGCCGGTTTTCATGAAGGAAGTTCAAATTTCGGCCTTTGATTCCTGGCAAAAATTTGACAACAACACGTGCGAAGCAACTGGGTCTCAAAGACTCAGCTAAAACATTGTGAGCCCCTATTTTCCTGACGATATGTTTGATACCTACAAACACCTAAAAGTTTTTTCTTTTTATTTACCTATATTTGAAATTGAGGCCACGGGTTATTTTTGAGAAAATACAGTTCAAAGTCAAGCTATTTTTACATATTTTCAAAATTTGTCAAATTTCGCGAGCTTATATTTTGAACTTAGACAGCTGAAGTTACATTAAAAAACATAGGATGGAATATTTGAGGCATATAAAGTTAATTTCAACTTACATTTCATTCTCATATCACGTCTTTCTTCGTTTATTATGGTTTTAAACAAGCCACAGATCGACGTATACGGTATTTACTCCCATGTTCACGTCGCCATATTAACTTCTTCCAATCCCTCGATTACAAAACAAATCATCCCAAACCAAAGAACTCATAGTCGACTTTTAAAAGAATCACCGTTAATTTGTAAATCGTTGAATGGAAAGCAAAAAATCGTCAGCTAAAACAGCTTCTTGCTAACTTTCTGCTTTGTTTTGAATGTAAATGCAATGAGCTTTGTTTCTGCCCGCAATTTTTTGGTCAGCGACGACAAATTTCCCACCTGTTCTCAGCACCACGACCATTGTTCTGTTCAATTTGCGGTCGCGCCACAAGAATAACTATGATAGGTCTTTGTGACAACTAATTAAAGTAGTCATTGATCAGTATTTTCAAATTCAGCAAGTCTCTTACATTACAGTTGACGTTATTAGAATAAATTAGATAAAAGTAAAAAAAGATACAGAGAAAGACTTCGGACTCATCTACTTGGGAAAGACTAGCCAGTTATAGCCTTCAATGATTATAGCTGCATGTGTACCTCTTATTTCAATATCCGGGGATCATTTTGGTAGCGATGTTGACTGGAACGGAGGGTATAAAACATTGGAAATCGTATCGGTGGAAAATTGTTGGGATCCAAAAGAAAAATTAAATGGTGCAAATATACAAGCGAAAAATTAAATGATGCAAATAATACAAGCGGTGTAAATCAAATGCTAGCGCTCCATTGAACATGGAAGTTGCAGGCTCGGGTTTTAAGGTAACTTTCCATGACGATATGCAGTCTACATGGTGATCACCTATAGCTTTTTTTTGTGCTGTCAGCAGCATTTCATTAAACAGCTGAACGCGTTACAAAGAATTTTGAACAATTCCAAACTTGTGATTTTCCGCACAGATTGAGGAAATTAACGGAAAGTTAAATTTAAAGAAACTGAGCTTTTTCTAGCAGACACAATTTTATTGTTTGCACAAACACCCTTCTATATCAAGTCAAGATTCCACTATACAGTAAATACGCCAAAAATATTTTAGGGGTGTCTGAATTTCATCCTGAATTTCATATCCCTATTTGCATGGAAGCAAGATTTTGGAGTGTCTGCATGAATTCAGACACCCCTATTTCTGTATCGACGATGCAAGTGTTGCTGGCAATAGAATAAATAACTGATACAAAACATAAGGATCGGATATCTGACATCCAGACTATCTTATAATATTATTTCACTTACGCTTGTAGATAAAACAATTTGAGGCGTTTTATAACATTTTGTTACCTTTAGAATTCTGTAAATCTCCTTCTAAAGTGCAGTAAATAGCATTTCAGAGACTCTAGTTTTAAAATGTTTTCAGGGGGGCATGCCCCGGACACGCCTAGAATGTCACCCGTCTTCGGCGGGCGCTAAGTGTGCCCCCCCCTCTCTCTCACACACACACACACACACACACACACACACACACACACACACACACACACACACACTTTTAGAGCCGCTCTGACGCCCCTGCTATAAAGATTGCGCAGCTGTAGTTTGAAGTGATACGATGATACGAAGTGAAAAGGATTATATATTTTTGTAAAACCGTGTTATTTCAGAAACAATGGACAAACAAAATGATGTGGATTTCGAAGAACGAGGAATACAATGTGTTTGCTATAGAATTTGGTTATTAAATAAAATTTATACAAACAGCGGACGTCTTTATTATCATTTATTATATGACAATGACGGCTTTTTTCCAAATGAAATCACGAAGGACACGAAAAATCTGAGGGCGGACGGTACGTAAAAAGCCAAAAATCCGACTTTTTAGAGTGAAAAACACATTACGGAGAAACACTAAGTCAAAGGCGACTCCTGACTCGAATGTATATATATATATAATGTTATGAACATTTAAACAGCCATAAAATAACGCTATAAAACAGCAAGAGTAAAACAGCAAACTTGCAAACAATTTTAGGTAGTTATTTGTTGAACAAAACAGCAGCAAGAACGCTATAAAAGAGCTCAACCATCTAAATGTATTTCAAAAACTAGTTTTTGAACGAAAACGAATCATGACATGCAACTTAGTTACTTGGACATTTTTGAAGTAAATTATTGGTATGTAACGTTGAAGAGTTGAAGAAATCTGTGTTTAGGTACTATTTCTTCACTTAATTCACCTTTTTTAAACAAATTTTAGTCGGCATATTTCATATATAATCAACTCAAAACGACTTATATATAATATATTACATAATTATTTTCACTTCGTATCATCGTACCCGAAGATCTGAATAGGTTAACTGACTACTGACATTTGCCTGAATTTGACAAAATATCCTAACTGACAACTGAGAAATGATGAAAAATGATGAGTCAGCATTTGACAGTAACTGACTACTCACAGCTTGCAATATATCGCACTAGTGACAACTGACAACTGGCTTAAATTTTAGCTGACAACTGACACCCAAAGACCCCCATTAAGACTTCTATCCCTGAAAAATACAGCTTGCCCTAGCTGTCTTTTTACTGACTTATAAAAAGTAATACGTCGGTAAAATAATTACGTCATTACTTTGACTTCGTATCGTTGTATATCACGAAAGGAAAATAGTTATATACAAAATCTATATAATCCAGCCACGAATTATGTTTGAATTACTCGTTCTACGGCTGGAATATCAGATAAGTCATGCAGGAAAAAGCTGCAATACATCCAAGAAATTTAGATGTAGCCATGCGCAGCTCAAGACAACTTGCAGCATGCATGAGCTTCCCCGCAAAGCTTACTTCTTCTACAAGTTCTGAATTGCATGCATGCATGGTTTGTCGGTATCACGATATGCACGTATTTCAGTATATTTATTTTTAAGGATTGGGTAAATGATTTTCAAGACAAAGGAGGTCATCCTCTTTCAGTGTTGCTTATAATTATACGTTTCGCCGAAAAGAACTAATCAAGTTTATACAAATTTACATTGGATTGTAGACCATTGTACTACACTCTAGCTTGTGCAGGTAAAATTTTTTCTTAACATCTGTGCCATAGACATAAAAAATTAATCATTCACGTTTCACAATCTCTGCAAGAATTTTGAACCTATAGTTTATAGTGTCATGTCGAATATCACGATGTATTCCAATTCTAATGGGTAAACATTGGTAAAAAGAAGAAAAAAAATAATGTGAAATCCGCCCCTGGTGTTCAAAAACCGGATTCTGACTTACTCGATATACAATGCCTTGGAATAACAAATATTAAGCGAACGAACGGGGTCGATATCAATGTTTTCATCATTTTTGTACATTAATTAATATCGACAATCTTGAAAGGTTTTTAAAGATGAAATTCACTTGGAAACTTTCATTTACATTAAATTTAGACCTATAACCAGGAGCAGTGACGAACGGAATCCTATATACATAGAGTGAGATGTCCCAAAATCTCCAATTTAAAATTAACTATATAGCATACAATGTTATGCCCATGCAATACATTCAATTTCGTACATATATATTCAAAATATATATTCAAACTGAATTAATTTTTAAATTTATGCTATTTAGCACTTGATCTGACTATCTGACACATGTTTCCAGCAACTGTCAATCTTCAAAGTGACTACTGTATATAGCTACATTCAGTTTGCTATATACTATATTGATTTCATATATCCGCGAAAATCCGTAGTTGAAATCTTGTGCTTGCGATCAGTATAAATCCAGCAGTAGGCTATAGACAAATGTTATGTCTTTGCGTATATGTTCTTAAATTGCCGGATTAAATTTTCAAAGCTCGCTTTTATGATAAGTCTGATCCGACCTACAAAACTGCTTCTTTTTGTATCAATGTTGCCGTTTAACGGTTTATACCTAGTGCAGATATATTTTTAAAAAGATATGAACTTACGTGAATGACAGAGATCTTTCTGTTTCCAGATACTCTATATTTTCGCTGATTGCTCGATGTTTCGAAGGTAAATGAACACCAGCCGTCTAAAGCTAAATACGTAAAATAAACAGTATATATGAGCGTCAATCATTTGATGTTATACATGATTTCATATGCAGCTGCTAAATCTCATCAAAAATGCATAATTATTTTTTAACTACGTACAGTATGATATGTATATTCTTTCATCTTATCTCTCTTGTTCATTTATTTTTTACTGTTTTATTTATCTATCATCTCCCGAATTTGAAATTGTTGAATAATTTAACATTCTTGTCCATGAATATCTGAAGAAATATCTTCGCGTTATTCACAGATTTCTCGCTCAACAGCACAATCAATTCACAAACACTGTATCTCACTTAATTGCATACATACATATATAGCATGCATTCAATCAAGACCTTCTGCATGAATTCGCTGGCTAAATGAGACGCAAACACGCGGACTAAACCTAACATTCACGTACTGCCTTTCAATAATATCATGACCGCATGAAAATAATAAATGGGAACGTATAACAGTCGCTGCTCAGAAATTGATCAGGTCGCGACAAAAGTTCTATCATTTTGATAATCTTCCCTTCTCGAGTAAATTAATTATCCTGTGGGAGACGAGAACCCCTATACGGCTGGATCTGAGCCTAGTGTTTCTCCTTGCGGGTAGACCGTCTGGCATGCAGGCTGATCACACTTTTATTAATGATCAGCGGTATAGTTAGCGGTTCGTTAGAGAGAAAACCGCAAAATCGGATATATGTGTTAAAGAAGCGTTATTAATCAGGGCAGAATAAATAAATTATTCACACAACAAAATGATATTGTCTCTGTTTCTAGTGTTTTTTTTCAATTTCGACATGAATTATAATAAAAAGTCCTACCAAATTAACGATCGTTCATTAACTTGATAAGCGCCATTCTAGTTCTTTCGCAGACTGCATGGGATATGTTTGGGCGTGAACTTTTGGGGTCTTGGCCCAAACCGCGCTGTCCATGCAAGAGATTGAATGATGCAACTATACTGATCAAAAACTAAGAACAAGCTTCACATATAATTCCCAGTGTATAGCAGTCAACATGCATTTGTTCCCATCGGAGGGTTCGTGTTTAAATAAATGCTATTGATTGATTGCCACATTTGAATTCAAAACTTCGATGAATCCAAGCTCTTCTCGCCTTATGTCAATCAGGGAATGACAGAGCTAGCAGCTTCCATACACAATGCAAATGAAGACACGCACATTATACGGTGCTTCTGTTTCCTCCCACCAAGGCCTTGCATTTTCGTCTGTGTTTATATGCGTGTCGACCGAGGTCGCTTGCCGACAACACAAACAGAAACGAAAGCTAAGTATAAAGAAAGATTGTCAAGTATATATATATATATATATATATATATATATATATATATATATATATATATATATATATATATATATATATATATATATATATATATATATATATATATATATATATATATATATATATATATATATATATATATATATATATGCATATACATACATACATACATACATATATATATATATATATACTGTAATATGTTAAGATGTAATATGTTAAGATGAAAATGTTCTAGAGTGTAGAACACTAGAACATTATAGAACATTATTATAGAACACTAGAACATTATTATACACTCTAGAACATTTTCATCTTAACATATTACAGAGTGTACAATTATAACTAGTATTGTTCGATGCTGAATTAATATAAACGAGTATGTTTATGACATTCAGTATATATTTCATAATTTCCAGTCTTAAATCCGTCTGACCGTGTAGCGCAGTAAGTAGAGCGTCGATCTATAGTAATTCGCCGGAAGGCCGCGGGTTCGACCGTTCGAGACCCAGCCGCGGCAGACAACATCTTTCTGCTTGCGCTGGGTATGGAAATTATATAATACACACTCTAGAACATTTTGTAATGTTCTAGAGTGTGTATTATATAATTTCCATACCCAGCGCAAGCAGAAAGATGTTGTCTGCCGCGGCTGGATCTCGAACCCGCGACCTTCGAATTACTAGATCGACGCTTTGCCTACTGAGCTACACGGTCAGACATATAATACACACTCTAGAACATTTTCATCTTAATATATATATATATATATATATATATATATATATATATATATATATATATATATATATATATATATATAGATATATATATAGATATATATATAACTACAGACGGTACCGTTTCGGCCTTTTGGGCTTCAGTGTATATATATATATATATAT